TTGGGTGCTGTGGGATTACCAGAGCATGGGCTGCATCAGAGTGAGCAGGATGACAGCACACATCTCGCTCCACAGGCTGGTTGTGGAATACAAAATCTCCAGGAAGAAAAGAAAGGCCCTGGGTTTGCTGGATGTGAGATGTTTTAATTTGCACAAATGCAAGTGACAGACACTTTGGAAGTTTCCACTTTGTATTCTGCTTTTATCTTAATTAGTATTAACTTATTCTTCCAACAAGGGAAAACTCACAGAACACTGATCAAGAGAAGAAAACTGCAATAGTTCCAATAGTCCCCTTCACTCAGCTGCTAATACTGTACTAGGAAGGATATGTTTGTAGTGGGGCATCATCTCTAATGACCAGGTTTCACAGAAAGAAGTTGAATTCATTGCTGTGGCAATTAAGAAAAGCTACAGCAGGATCACACACGAGGTGAATTCAGCCACTGGATGCCTTTAATTCCCCACAAATTCTGAGCAACACATGGATGGTGTTCTTCATCAGCCTGAGCCCACCTAACTGCAGAATCCTCTGGCTCGGCTGTACTCTGGCCAGCTCCTGTGAATGTGGAGATCCCCCTTGGGCTGCTAAAATTGAAGGTGAATATCTTTCTGCCAGTCAGGCATGCTGCAATGCCAGGGCACTGGAGCTGGTGAGTGTTGGAGCTGTTTGAGGAAGGAGGCAGGGTTCAATGGCCAGGATGCAGGGAAGAGCATGACCAATGGCAGCTAGCTGATACACAGCTGAGGTGCTTGTCAAATTGCAGACCAAGCAGTGAAAAACAAGTTTTCTTTCTTTCTTTCTGTGAAAAGAAGGTATTGATGCCAACTAACAGAGCTGTGGCAACTTCTCAGGTGGCTGCCTATGACCCAAACATCTGCTGCAACAGAGTGATAGAAGAAAAAAGTGACAAGGTCTGACTAGCATCTAAATCACTTTTGTGTTAACTGGCCAAACTTCTTGCAAGTCATGCTCACTTTTTTCAGAAAAACATGTAGTGAAAGACAAACAACTCTTCAGCAAGCTGCAAAATCCATTCCCTGCAAGTGGGCACAAGTGCAGCTGAAGCAGCCAGTGCCAGGAGCATTATACCCCCTGCCAAAGAGCCCCTCTTTGGGTTTATTGTATGTTAAAACAAGTTACTCTCTGCAAGCTCCATTTCAGAGTCTAGAGGTAGGTGCAGGATTGATTGGCATTCTGTGGCAGTGCCAGTGGTACAGTGCAGGGATCCTGGCACTGTTCTTTTGCCTCAGACCAGCCCTGCTGAGCATGGGAGGACTGGATTTCAAAAATGATGGGCACCCACAGCTAGTGCCAATTGCAGGTCAAGGTGCCCTGCAGCTCCTGGCACTGGGTCCTGAGGGCATCTCCTACTTCCCCCCAAAAGTGCTATCTGGTCAGCCTCTCCCTTTCCAATTAAACAGAATATTCTTTTTACAGTGATGTTCACTACAGCTGAAAGTGTATTTCACTGCATTTTGCACCTTTCTGCTGCACAGAAACACAGCAGTCATCCCCTAAATGAATCTCACCCCTCAACAGTCTTCTTGGGTAGATACCGTGTCATCAGCTTTATCAAGCAGAAATCCAGAGCTTTGAAACTGAATGCCTGCCAAGGCATGAGCGTGTCAGTGGCACAGAGCAAAGGAAGCAGCCATGCACCAGGAGGGCAAGGACTCTGCAGTGTCACCAGGGCCTGATGGCCTCCACAGCCCTTACTCCTGTGCCCCAAGGGTCAGCCCCACACTGGCTCTGCCTGCAGACCCCAATGAGCCCACTGAGATGGACTACAATGGGATTTGCCTTTGCTTTGTTCTACCAAATGGATGTAACAGTGACAGGAAAAATGCACAGAGAGGATTTTCTGGCCTGTCATCCAAGTAGAAAAAGAACAGGAAAAAAGAGAAGGAGAAATTAGAGTAACAGAGAGGTTCAAAAGGAAAGCAAGCATGGAAGACAGGGTGGGAATATACCTTCAAGAATTTGGCCCATGTCCCTCAATATTTCAGCAACTGTATCATGTAAATCTCAATCTCAGACTGTTTTGACTGCTTCTGGACCCTTCTACTCTCATTGGAAAGCTATTTTGGAACCTCACTCCTCTCATGGCTAAAATCCTTTTAATTTCTAGCCTAATTTTATTCATAAATATGTTCACATCTTGTGGAACTTAAGCTGTAGCCCTAACTACAGCTTAAGTAGTTGTCCCTGGATGTAAACCTCACAGTTCTGATTTTATGCTTAGTTTAAACTGTCTCTATGTCTGACCTGCTGCCAAATACCTGATAGCAAATATGTGTACAGACTTGACATTCCCTGGTCAGAAAGGTGTCCCTCTGCCTAGCAGCTGAATCACACAAACCCACTCACAGCTCTGATTCAGGACCCTGATCCCAGGAGATGGAAGATAGGGCTGTCTTCTGCCAAAGCTTCCTCTGGATCACATCCATCATACCTTAACAACGCAGCCACCTCCTTCCTTCCCCCCACAACCTCCCTGGTGCAGAGAAGGGTGTGCAAATGTTGTGCGGGGCTGTTTTACAAGGCCTAAACTCCCTGGTGTATGCTGTGACACCTGGGCTGGAGAGGCATATACAGCAAATGCACTGCCCAGGCACACACCAGCTGGGCTCCATGTGTGTGATCAGTCTCACACCAGGAACACCCCAGCCACAGGTTCACATGCAGCAAAGCTGCTGAGTCTGTCTGCAAACCCCAGTGAATCTTCTGGGGTTTCTGGACATTTCACCCTGGGTGGAAAAGGAGGGGGTTTCCCTTGGAATATCAGAAATATTCCTCTTAGACTACCTTTGCGTGGTTACAGAAATAAGAATTTCATAAGTAAAAAAAACAGGAAACAAGTAGGAAATAAATAATACTGTTTTAGAAAACCCTACAAATATGAAAATTACCTAATCTTTAGATTAAAGCCATATTAGGGGACCAGAAGGACACATCAGTGCTCTACTGCCTGGATTATCTGATGGAGTAACACTCAGAAGCACTGCTGCCAACTGCCCACATAAACCTGGTTTATCGCATCCCAATAAAGCAGATTATGCTTTTGTGATGCCCTTATCCACATGTTCAATCAACAGGACTGCATTACCTTCCTCAGTGACCTTCCTATTGCTCTTCCAAATTAAACAGCCATGTGTTAGTCTCCAGCTCTAGCCGAGGCAGTGGCAGCAGTGCCAGTGCTGTGGCCTGGGGAGGAGCTGCATGGTGACACCAAGGTCAATTATCTCAGAAGAGAGAGGAAAAGCCCAGCAGAAGAGACCTTCACCTTGAACCTGCCATGCATGACCAGGAAGGCTCAGCCACTCAAAGAGCTTTGTGCTGCTACAAGGGGCAGCAGGCACCAGAGAGAAAGGGAAAACAAAAAGCAGACTTTCCCCAGTGCTGCCCTAATTAAGCAGATAATTAGGTGTGAGCTGAGATGGATATGTTGCTGCAGTCTGTGGGTTTGAGGTCCTAGTCAGAACTAGGGCAAGGGAGCAAATTTTGGCTCAGTTGGAATAAGCAGAAACTTATGATTTAATTTGGCAAGATTGTCTCCAGTGCTGAAGGACTTCACCAGTTTCACAGGTAATGTGAACCTGTGTTATAGCAACCCATCTCCTTGTTCTCATTTGGCATTTCAAACGCTGTCAAGTCTGAGGGACTTGTGTCTGCTGTGTTTTAATTTACCTGTTTTTGGCAGCCTGTGGTTTCCCCAAGACAGACTTTAATTCCTAGAGAGCCCCACTCAGAGATCCTTCTGCTTACCTGAGTCCTGAAGAAATGCCAAGGGGAGAATGTTCTCCATTTTACGATATTTTATCATGCATTAAATAAAAGGTATATATTTTAACAAAGCCAAAAATATTTAACGTTTAAGTTTGCAATTATTGATAACTATCTTAAGACAGAAGTCTCTAGATATTTTAAAACTCTAACCATATTTTCCCAGCTGTGTTATCCATAGAGAATATGATACAGCTATGTAAAGCTGCTATGACTGCTAAGTGTATTCAATTATCTCTGCTAGTTTTGTCCCCCCCCTCCCACACTTTCCACTCATTTCAGTGTTCACTAAATATTTTAAGCTTGTTAAGTGAGTTCATGCATGCGTTACAAAAAAGCACTTTGGGAAAAATTTATGGCTATTTTATCCATCTCAATATATGGGCACAAACGTACCACTGATCTGCACAGAGCTGTGAGACTCCGTCCCTTTTCCTCTTACCCTCCCCCTTCGGGAGAGAAAAAACCCAAACTTTGGAAAAGGGGTCATGCAAAGGCAGGGATTTCTATAGGGAGCCCATGGAACAATGCCTGCATTGCCAGGCGTAGTGGGCTCCCATTGTCTGCTCTTTGAGCACATAATAGAGGCTTTGCCAGTGGGGAGGCTAAATGGGGAACAAATGGATGGACAGCAAAGATGATGTCGACAGAAAGTGCAAGAACCTCCTTCTGCTTCTGTTTCTTTCAAAGGCTTGAAAGTGATAGTGTGCATAGTAATTCCTCTCCATTGTGGTGTGTGTAACGTTTATATTCATGCTGTGCTGGCTAAAGAAATGCTGGCTGTGGTCAGCAGAGAGGCCTGTACACATGCCTTTATCCCAGCAGCCTCCTGGAGCTCAAACAGTATGGAATCCATGTGTGGGGAGCAAAACACCAACTCTAATGTTAATGAAGATTACAGCGAAGAATGGAGGGATGGAAGCCCAGCTGGTGGATTTTCCCTTACAGCAGCCAAGTACCCAACTATAGTTAAGTTTCATCAAAAGTTTCTTTACCATCCATTTCAGAGGTTTCACAGCTGGGCTGGAAAATTTGCGTGGAGATAAACCCTTCAGTCAGGCCTCAAGCAAATGTAGAAATGGCTGTTATGATTTTGTGAAAGCTCCAGAGATGGAACTACTAAAGCAGTGCAAATACACATATGAAAATCTACCTATTTAGAGATGGCACACATACAGAATTGCACAGAATTCAGAGTTAATTTATCCCAGCTGATAACTTATATTGTGTAAATTAACACATTTTTTATCTTCAAGCACTTTTAAGCCACATTATATCAATTTGAAGTGAAATAATTATTTTCTGTTAAATACTGTGAGATGACTCAAGAACTCTGTAGAAAGGTGATCAGTTCCCATTCACTTCCAGAAGTCTCTTCCCCAGAGGATTTGAAGTGACAATCAGCAGCACTGGCTGTTCTTCTATCCCTTCGTTCGTCTTCTCCTCCACAAACTTCCAGTTGTAAGATTTTAAACACTGCTATTGCTACAAGTGAAGAAATAAAAGACACTACTGAAGTATCACTTTTCAGACCATTCATTAGTCCTCAGTATATTTTTGGTCTGGGAAAAAATTCCCACCTACATGAAATCCTTTTTCCCCCTGACCTTTTGTTTTCAAAATTCTTGAAAAAAATATCCATTCCAAGATCCATCTCAAGAATCCCTTGAAACCTTTGAAAATCCTCTTCCTGTATCTAGCGCTGGGCACTAGCAGGAAGATGGAGTGTTTTTAACCTGTGTACAGAGTGTTTTTAACCTGTGTGTCCTCACTGGCTCCACCCTGGGCTAACAGTGATCTCCTGAGGACGCCATGGTGGCCCTGCACGGAGCAGGCTTGCAGCCTTCACCTGTGAACCCATGGATCTGAAAATTAGTTTCACCATGGAGAAACCAAAGGTTTCAGATGGGCTGGGATATCCCTTTCCTCACTCCAGTTGGTCCCTCCAAGGAAAAATGGTAGCCCATGGAGAAAGTGGCAGCACTGCCAACATGCTACCTAATGTGAGCATTAAACCTGTCTTAAACAGAGGAAATTAATACCAAGCGCCTCATTTGGATGGCATCTCGTTTGGGAGAAAGCCAGGAAACATAAAGGTTGGTTTGCTCTGCTCATCATTCACATGACTGTGCCTTTTGTTTTTCAGCCTGATGAGAGGCAAGGATAGAAAATCTGCCCCAGCTCTGAATTTCCTGGCTTTTGTCAGTTGATGTTACACCCATGATATTATTCAAACAGGGGGTTTTGTGTGTAACAGATAAATGTCGACAAAGCCCTGTCTAATGCCTTTTAGGTTGCTAGGAAACATGGCTCTGTAGCCACCACAGAAATATCTCTGGCTAGGGGATTAGATAAGCTCTGACTTGTTTTGATTAGGTGAGCTTTATTGCAGAAAAGACAGCAGCATGCTTGACATCGTAAAAATATGACCCGCTTACAAACCCGGGGCACAAGGATCACTTATTGCTCGTGATGGCCTCCATGAGAGGGCACTTTGAATACTTTTGTAGCCCACCAAATCACTTCTCTCTAGAAAAAGCCACACCTCCTAATTAAGGTCTCCTTTGGTCCCCTAGAACTTGGGGCTGCTGCCGCTAACACCCCTATGTTAGACCATACTGAGGTGAAAAGTTTTCAGCCTAGCTTAATTTCATGTGTCAGGAGAATGGGAGTATTTGTGGTCTGGTGGGCAGCACAGATAACTAAGAACTAGCTTACCTGGCCTCTGCTCTGCCATTTAATGATTGTGCTTTGAAACTAAATTTGAACGGGTTGTACCTGTGGCAGATATTTATGCAACCCCATTGAAGGAGGAGCTAGAGGAAGTGAGCCTCTCTGCTGCTGCTCATGGTGACCTGAGATCTGCTATGGGGAGCTGAGTCTCTTCCCCTTTCTGACCCTGCCTGTCTCAGCCTTGTGTTGGTCCATGCCCTGCCTTTGCCAATGGCATGCCCAACAGGCATTTGGGGAAATGGTGGAAGCTCCATGCCCTTCCTCATAAGTGGTTTCCACCCCTTACCTCTTTACTGACAAGAAGTTTTTGCCTTGTTCTACCTTACTGCAATTCAAGAACCTTGCTTGTCTTGCTCACAGTATATGTAACAAACAGGTTATCCCCTCCTCTCTGCAGTGCGTTTTTATGTTTGAACACAGTTCTTCCTCAGTCAACTTTTCTCTGAACAAAACAACCTAAATGTTCTCCATCTATTCTCACAAAGTATATTTTTCCTAAGCTCTTTAGCTCCATGGTGTATTATCTGTGGAAGCAGGGCAGATATTCTGCAAGCTATAAATGAAACCAACAATCTTGAGGTGAAATCACCAGTCTGACCACAGGCTCAGCCATGCTGTACCTGTGAGCTGTGCAGTTCCCGTCCACGTTGCTGGCAATAGTTTGGGATCATATTATCTGCTCTTTAATCAGGAAAGCATTGAGACAGGCATCTGGAACAGTCAAAATTACATGAGAGAGACCCTGGGCTCATGCTGAGGTGTAAGCAGAACCCTGAGTTTGGTCTAAGTTCATGTTTGCACATTCACATTTAATAAAGGACACAGCTCAGAGTTATACTCTTGTATGACAGACGTGCATTGTACCAGTCAGAAGAGAGAACTGGCTGCATTACTAATGAAGTTTAAAAAGGCTCTCCCCTCAATTCACACCAATTACATGAGAAGTTCCATTCACAGAGAATGTGTAACGTGTCCATATTCTTAGCATTTTAAAAGAAATTTCTGCTCATCAATCTACCTCAGGTAAAGCTCCTCCTATTAGAGGAGCTAAAATATCATTGAAAGGCTGAAAACAATCAGGCTCTTTCCAGCTAACTGGGAAAGCAAGTCTCAGAATAATGAATTCTGTGCTGAGAACACTGCAGTTGAAATGTTTCAGTTGGGAGAGCTCAGTACAAACAGGTACATTCCAAACCATTCAGTATATAGGTTAATATTAACATTAGGCATTGCACATTTAGCTCAGCAGTCTAAAAGCGATGATGTGCTATGCTCCCCTGCACTCATGGCTGAGCCTGGGTTTGTGCCCCGTGTTCAAACACACCAGGACGTCCTGTGACCCTGCTCTGGAGGAGACAAAGCCCTGTTCACACTGTCTTTGCAGCTCTCACCTGGAGCAAGCCCTGGCTCCCCGGCAGCCTGCACAGCATGGCCTGTGTCCCTCAGGAGCACACAAACCGTGACCACACTGCAGTCTCTGGGAACAAACCTGGCATCTTATCAGCCTCCACTGCAGTCTGCACCTGGAGGTGAGCATCTCCTCACTCTCCCAACAGCAGGGTCAGAATGCACTTGCCCCAGGCATGGCAGATTATCCATCAGCATCCTCCTCATGAGGTGACCAAGCCAAATAAAGGAGTGCAGAGGCTGCTACAAAAGCACACAACTTGCTTCTGCTCTGACCATGTCTGCTGCCATTTCCTCCTCTGTACACCATGCCAGTCCTACCACAGAAAACCTCATGCACTGGGGTTGCTGACAGAGCCAGCTCAAACTAGGGTATGGATGGCTACACACAGATGCCTGTTAGAGCCAGCCTTGGCCAGATGGTGTTTGTTGCCCCAGTTATATTCCTGACTCTTACTGTCAGCCAAGCTGTGACATAGCAAGTTGTTATATGGAAGTGCTTGCAGGGTCTGGATGTCACTGTTGGCAAACAAGGGCAGGAGGCTACTGGAAAAGGCTGCTTGTGTGTGTGTGGACATATTAGCAGCACCCAGGGCACAGGGTGAGGTGAGTGTCTTGTCCTGAGCCACGAGCTGCCCACCTCTGCTGGAGAATGGCTTAATTACACTATGTGTCTTTCCTAAGCACAGCTGTACCTAAACACATCCTATTGTTCTCATCTCTTCAGTAACTCAGCCAACACATCTACCAGAGCCACAGGCAATGCCTGAAACATGGCTTCATGCCTGGGGCCCTTCCATTTGTCCTGAGCATGGCAGTGAGGATGGAGGGGGTGAATAAATGGCCTCAGAGAGTCTCATCAGTTGCAAGGCTTGTTAGGGTCCCAGACCTCTCAGACCCAGCAAGATGCTCAAGTCCTAGGTGACAGTGCAACCTGGAGTTTACTGTTATGGCACATGGGCCCTGACCTGGTGTATTTCATGATAGATGGAGGCACATCAGCCAAGCTGCTCCAGCATAATCACTGGCATCACAGCTCTCTACATGCCCAGCCTTTGTTTGGATGAATTTGAAGTCAAAGTACTTACTGCTACAGGCCAGACCCACAGCATGAACCAGCCTCCATTATGTGATGTGCAGATATCTTGGAAGCGCTGGATATGGCAGCTCTGAGTTTTTTGCACCCAAAAAGCTTTTAGATTTTTTTACTGACAAGTTTCAATAAAAATTCCAAGCAGTCAAATAATAAGAGGATTGATATAGAGCTCCCCAGGTCTTTGGGCCAACTGGGAGGCTGGTAAGGACAGCTGAGTGAGATTTGTGTGTGTAAATCTGGGGCCACTGGAGAACATTCTTGGGAGGAGGAAGTGAATGTGTCTTGGCCTTTGTAGGTAGTGTCTGGGGTGTGCAAATCTCTGAGAACAACCCTCTGAAATGCACTTAAATACCTAAACAGAGGTAGCTATTTGGCTTGCTTCAGCAGGGCTGATATGGCTGCACGTGGATGCCTGGGAGAGCAGGGCCAGGTGCCACCTGACTAGAGATGCACTCAGTCATGGATTGTGTTCACAAGGCCTGAGAGGACCAAGTACAAATTTTGCAGCTGTACTGTGCCCGTTAGCAGTTTTGGCAACTGCATGCATGCGCTTACAACTCTACAGATGACAGCAAAACCTGGATCTTGGTGATACAATGGGCTCTGCTGTATTTGAAAGGACCCACACGACCAACTGACTATACTCTTTGACATATATCATCCTCCAAGAAAATGCGAACTCCTTGGATTCACAGACACACAGAAAGTCAGTGTTGCCTGTGTACTGACTTTGTGTTGCTGCCACAGCCTCTCTTGAAGCTCACCCAAACCAGATGCCAAGCACTTGCTCCCCCATTTTCCCTCCCACTTCCTGCTCCAGGGATGAAGTTGAGAATTATGTGAAAAATCATGGGTTGAAATAAGAACAATTTACTGGAAACAGCAATGAGATAAGGAAATGAACAGTAACAGCAACAATATTAATAACAAAAGTGTGCTAAAAAGGAAGGTGATTTACATGCAAGATGCTCACTGAGCCCAAGTGACATGACCACAGCCAGTGGCACCCCACCCCAATTTCTCAATCTGCCATATTTGTTCCCAACTGGAAACCACACCTCTTCTTCCCAGAAGTCCCTACTCAGGCAGTCCTTTTCCCCAGCCCATGACATAAGATGATATCCCATAACACAGTGCCTTGGCCATATCCTCCCACTGATTTGGGCCAGAACCAGGGCAGCTTCCCAAAATCTTTTTGAACCACCTCACCCAAAGAGCTCAGGCAGCAGAGATTGGCTGTCAGGAAGGTCCAAGCATGTCCCATGCCCACTGTTCAGCTCTCACTTCCCTGAACTGAGTACATAAACATGACTCACTAACAGACCACATCCCTTCCATACAGTTATCACAGCTCCTAAAGATGCCACCTGACACAGAGTAGATGGCTGAAGCTGGAGTCAGTGAAAAGTTTGCCCAATTTAGAAATTGAGTTCTCCTGAGGGACACCAGCCAGACCCATTGGCATTTGTGAGAGCATATCTAATTTGCACGCTTTTAGCGTGTCTGCTATTACTTTTGCCACGAGGCTGAAGTTTTTAATGAGATTAATGATCCATGGGTCACTGTGACCAGTGATTGATGAGGTTCTCAGCAAAATCAATTTACTGTTTCTTTCCACCAAGGGTTTCAGCCACCCTTCTGCATCCCAAAACGGGTCACAATTAAGACAATGTAGTTTGATCTGGCTTTCCCTGACCAGACACTTCAATTCAGTGCCTGCAGTTTGTTGACTACAGTTTTCCAATAAGCTCAAGGGAGCCTAATGGTAGCAGTGCATTAACCCACCAAGACCAATTTGCAGTATTGGGTATCAGGATATGCAAATGAATTAAATTAGATCTTGTTTTCAAAGGGTATCATAAGGTGTCCCTTGAGCTTTATGTGCTTTTGGACATAATTTGACACATTAACATTTAATTTCTGCCAGGTGGGGTTCACCTTCCTCTGAGGTAAAGAGCTCACAGAGTAACTCAGATCTTGTACCTCCCTCCTTCCTCTGCTAATAAGAAATACAAGATCCAGTTTCTCTCTCCCTTCCCCCACTGCTTTCCTCCCACAACGTTTGAAAAATCTGACAATAATGCAAAAAATAGTTCTGTATGGCTCTGTTGTCACTCAGGGACTCCCAGATTATATTTGATGTGCTGGTGCAGTTGGGAGCTGAGCAGCAAGGCTGGTGTTACTGCTCTCCTTTGAGCCTGTACTGCCCTGGGACAGCTGCTTTACCTCCATCCAAATGTAAGGACTGCTAAAAGGAGATTTTTGTCCAGTCGTGGACTTCTGCTGGTCACCTGCTGGAATGGGATCTGGGGATCCTACCCAGCCCAGTGTGAATTTTTGTCACGTGTAGGCCCTCAGGACAGTTCACAGCCTTGTAGCTTACCACTCAATTTAATTAATGAAGTTCCAAGCGACAGAGGACACAACAACTGCCAGTATTTAAGATCACAGGTTTTAAACGTCAGTAGGCACCACTAGCCTTCATTATACCAGAAGCAAAAAAATTTAATCCAGTAAATTCTGCCTCAAATTCCTATTTTGTTGTCAAGATGGAGCATATAATTTCAGGAGCTGCTCCAAATTCAGTCTACAGGTTTTATTTTAAAGAGGTATCCCACTGAGCTCTGTGTGCCCCTGTAACCCTCCTTGTGTGCAGCACCATGAGAGACACACATGTCCATTCTTACTGTCGAGTTTTGCTTAAAACATGCCTGGTTTGGGTTAGAGCAGCATTATATGCTGAGGGTTGCCAATGTCTTCTGCCTTGCTTAAGTCATGGTTTTATGATGCAAATTAGACAGATAATACCGTCTGTAAACCATACTGCATGATCAGATGGCAGACTAAGCTTAGTGAGATAGAGATTTCCTTTTTAATTAAAACTGCAACGCTTCTGTGTGGTGGATTAACATGCAAGGGTCACTGGAAGAAGTGAATTAAAGTAGGATCTGAACAATGAGGGAAAATTGCTCCAAAATGGCCACTAACAGCATAACAACTATGTCACTTACCAATGTCTTCCTTGCAGGAATATTACGTTATGTTAACCCTTACCATTCCTTAAGGGTAGTCAGGTGTCACCCACGTTTTAGTCATGTGAAAACTCTGATGTGGAAGGTTAAAATAATAATGAAATAATATCTGGCTTCTTTTGTTATAGCCTTCATCTTGACAATGAGACTTTGCTTTTGGAAGCACCTGGAAGCCAGGACTCCCACCAGTCAAGAAATTTTTTTCAACAGCTCCAGAAATGCAGCCCCAGTAGATCATTTTAGGTAAATCATGTTTTTCCTTCAGAGCATGTGCACTCAGCAGTTAAGCTGCCATACGAGCACTGAGCTTTAATTCCCACAATATCCAGTCCTTCTGGCCAGCTTGTCCCAGAAGACTGTCAGTAAGCAGTGCTGCAACAGATGTCACACTTACACAGATATATCCTGGCTTTGCAGTGGAAAGAAAATTTCCTTTTCCCTAAACTCTATGAAGCCACAAGTTCTTGATTCAGACTGATGCAAGCCCACCTTCACATAGGCCTGAAGATTAATTTATCTTTATTAGACTATCTTTGCTGTTCAGATGACATCTTCTAACAAAGCCAAGTGTAATAGATGGTTAACTGCACATCTAAAGCTTGCATTTGAATTCTTTTGCTAAATGCTCTGCAATTAGACAAAAGCTGAGTAAGGCAGAGACTGCAGTACTGTATCACCAGGAAACACATAAGGAGAAGAAATCTGAGCCATCCTTGTTTCACAAAAGGAAAAAAAAAATAGCAGCTGAGATACATACCTGAAAAATACAAGGGGAACTAAGAAATCCTGAATCAGCTGTTCACAAAGAACAAAACTGTTATAATCAGATTTCCACATGCATATTTACAGATTAGAAATGCAATGCCTAACAATTCTTAAACAAATACCAGCTTTCTTCCAGAAAAAATTGTCTGTTAAAAACAACAAATCCAGTGTGGTTACAGATATTACAAAACAGAGCAGCTATTTGCTATTAAACCTCAAGAAATAATAAAATATTTCTGTGCTGTCACAGAAGAAATAAAGAAAAGGAAAAAAGCCTAACTGGGGGGGGGGGGGGGGGGGGGGGAGAAGGAGGGGTAGGAGGGGACAAAGGAAATTAACTGAATCACCTACAATTTCCTCCAAAAGTGACTTAATCCTGATCAATCTTCTTTGTGAGACAACCTATAGGAAAACCAAAAAACCTGTAATAGTCAGGCTGCCAGGTCCTTGAAAGGCAGCAGAATTTAATTTGAGTACTTCAACAGCACAATGGCATCCTCAGCCTTAGAGAGGACCTCTAGGCAGAGGCAAGGTAAGTTTATAACAATAATAAATAAAATTATGCTTACCCCTTTAAGTACCTCAAAGGAAATTAATTTTTAGGTTTTTAGAGTAACTGTGAACAGAAACCACATCAGGCAGTATAGACTACGTTTGAGACTAGCACAAGCCACGCTGTCCAGATACTCAGGAATTGGATAGAGCACCCTACAAAGCGTGTTTTGCTGCCAGCTGTCCTTGCTGCCCTGTCAGAGGAATGCAGGAGATTGCAGATGCGGGCGAGCCGAGGGAGGACCCGTCCCCACCTGCGTTACCTACCCCGTGGCTCCCTGGCAGCAGACTGCAATGCAGCACTGAGCTCTGCACTGGGGAAGGGCTTGCTTCTCTCTCCGAGCCTGTGCCAGCCAACGTGTGCAGGCAGCAGGGAGCTTTAATAAAGCAAACTCTGCAGCAGACTGCAGAGCAGGCTGATTAACACTTTTGGTGGTGCTGGGGAGCGTGGCAGAGCGCTCTGCCTCCCCTCCTCCACCCAGCCTCAAACCGGAGAGATCAAACCTTGACCAGCATCAGGTGGTTAAAACGCAGTTCATTAGCTCGGGTGCTTTCTGCCTGCTCGCCATAGAAAGGCTGCAGGAGTTGCTCAGGATGATCACATACAAAATGTGTTTGCTGGAGTTCCAAACAGCTTGTCTCCTTCGTGCCAAGCCCGCCCTTTAAAATTATATTTATTAGGAAAGCAGCTTTAATGCAACAGGCAAACGGCATGTAATCAGTGATTAGAGCAGCAGGCAAGGACATGATTTACCAGAGATTCAGTGAGAAGGGGACAAATGCAAGCTCTTGTCTTTCCTTGCACAGCACCATACAGGGCTTTGACCTGCCCCGCTCCCCCTCCCTGCTTTCCATGTCCCACAGGTGGCATCTGCTTCACAGTGATCTCTCCGAGGGACATCTGAGTCAGGGAGAGAAAAACAGTTTTCTTTCTCCTCCTGTAACAAGTCAGCTGGGGAAGGATATGTGATTCCCCAGCCCAGTTTCCAGAGCAAGGGCAAACAGGATGATGCAGTGACCGAAGGGTGCAGAGTCACAGTCACCCCCTCTGCCCCCATGGACCAGAGCAGGGAGCAGCTGGGCTCAGCCCCCGGAGGTGGGAGCAAGCTCTGACAGGGTGGAGGTGCTGGCTGCAGGCAGGGCAGCAAGGGGCAGCCTGCAGCAGGACCAAGGACCTAGCACAGGGATACAGTCAGCAGGCAGAGAGTGATCAACAAGCAGATTCACTCAGCTGTAGGTTGTTTATGAGAATGAGATGGAAACCAAATTAATATATTGTCCCAACTGCTGTCCCCACACTCCCACTCAATATATTTGCTCTTCTCCCTTCTGTCTTTGGTCCTGCTCTCCCACATGAAAAAATAGTTATTTGTTTCTATTCCTTGCAGTCCTTTATAATGCCTTAGAAAAGCACTACCTGTGTTTCTGGGCTAAAACCCCATTTTGCAGCTGTAGAAAATGCAGCTTGGAGAGGCAGAGTGACTCAGTTGGGATTTTATAGCCAGCCCACATCAGACCCAGCTTTCAGTACTCATCTTCTTTGGCTCCTAAAAGGAACCTTCTTCCACCAGCACCAGAACTTTCCTCTGTAGCTAAAGTTACCATCACACTGAATTTGCTATCTTTAGTCCCTCGGCCGGGTATTTGTTTCTTTGTTCTTCAGAGTCCTGGATGTTGCTGGATGTAAAGCTGAGTGTGTACTATTGTTCACTTCAGCTTTGTGCTGATGAAAGAACAAGCACAAAGGAAGGAGAGAAGAGGAGAAAAGGGGGCACCTTCTTGTATAAAAGGCTCTGAAATCCCATATGGAAAAAACTCTATAGAAGAGAATAAATGTGATTCTAAAAGCCTATTGAATTTAAGAGAGAATGATCTCCTTCCCACATGGTTTTCAAACACCATATAGACTGGTGCAGTCTTTGAGCATCGAGGGAAAAGAGATCAGACTCCTTTCAATGCTATGGATTTATCTATATAAAACTATTGCTTTAATTTCCACGAGGTATCTTATGGAAAAGGCTTAGGGAAAAGGATAAAAAGAGAAATAGGAAAACAGTTTGGGTTGGTTTGTTTTGAATTTTGAAGTGGTTGCAGAATAGCAAGCAATACTGTTGCTTTCTTCTGATTCTCAGTGACATTCTATTTGTTTACTTTCTTTATAGTTTGGGATTTTTTGAGGCTATTATGGTGTTGGGGGAAAAATTTTAAAATAGTATGAATGCTTTCCTAGATGCTTTTTGAGATGAGTGGCTCGTCTAAATCTTTATCTTCACTATATGGAGGAGGTTGTGGTCAGGTGAAGGCAAAGCTGGTCCTCATAAAAATTTATCTGCTGGATGAAAAAGGAACAACTGAAACAGTGGTATGGATTATATGATCTAAAGACTCTTAGGGGAGGAGAGGGCTGCAGAAGGCAGCGTTACAAACAGAAGGCCTTTGCCATGTAGCTGTTGTGGGAGGCACCGTCTGTCAGTCTGCCAGAGAGAGCCACAGCTGTTCCAGATGTGTGGTGATATGAGCACAATGAAATTCAACATGGCATTCAGGTAGACTAATTTTTCCACTCAGAATTCAGGGGAACTGTTCCCAAATCCTCCGGCACATATGTGCATGTGTGTAGGTATGTTACATAAAAGCAGTGTTTATGCTGGATGCCCAGAGGAAACATTAAATTACTGTGTGCACTGCTCATGATGGACTCCAGAGAGCCCAAAGGCAACTTTTCTACCATAAATTTATGTCAGTTTTTATATGCTACAACATCTGGGTCCAAAATTGGAGCTAGCAATCTAATAAGACAGCTTGGTTATGAGCAGTCACTCCAATGTCTTGACCCTGATCATCTCCCTTTTTTAGATGATGAAAACTTGGCCTGCTCACTTACAGACTGCACATTTCAGCCAACCCTAAGTCATGCCATCTTGCTGGCAGGGGCAAAGTCAGCCCTGAAAATCCTGAGTGCAAAAAATTCCCTGCTGGTGCACACAAATTATCTGCTAGGTGGCCTGTGCTGTTTTCTCTGTCCTGGTGACAGGTCCCTTTGCTCCTGGCATGGGTGTGGTGAAACACACAATCCCATCCTTCTGGGAAAGTTCCTGTGTGTCACAGGGACAGACAGATACACCAGAACTCCCAGGCTCTCTTTCCTGGTGGGATAGCTGGGCTAGGAAAGGCCATGCAAGAGGAAAGGGGAGGTTTTATGGCCCCTACATCTTTCCTTGTCCATTTGGACAAGGCTGGGAGCAGCCAGCCTTTCATCTCCCCAGGACTTTGTCAGCCATAAAACATGGATAGCACTCACCTTCCAGAGGGATTGGGAAGCATTGTTTGGCAATGCCTACAAAATGCTGTGACTGAAAGGCAATGTTTTAATAAATTATTCTTAGTCCTTGAAATATGTGCAGGAAAAGGGCTACTGCAGGAAGCATAGTGGCATATTGGTAGCTTGCAGGACTGTCCTGGGCTGCTTTGCTCCCATGCACACCAGACAGTCTTGGTTTTCCCTGTGTGCTGGGAAAGCTGCTCCCACACCTTGTGTCACCGCACGGCAGCCGGCACTCAGCAGGACACCCCTGAGTCGGATACCCTACTGAATCATTGCAGTTTCTCACCACTTGGATGGCATTTCCCCCATGTTTGTGTGTTGTTTCCATCTTATTCCAGGTCTCTGGGTTGATACAGGGAGCAGGCTGTCCTGCTCTAAGCTGTGGGGCCAGGCTGTCATGCAGGTGTGAGTGGCTCTGTGGATCCTGCCACCATGGGTCACTGACACAGCCAGAAAGGAGAGCAGTGATGGTAACAACACTGTAACACAAGTTAGAACACCTTTTTTTTTCATATGGGACGCTTTCTACAGATACTCTGGGTTTTGGTTGGCTCCCAGGGGCAGCTCCTGCTTTCAGGCTGCCCAGGGTTCCCCATGGCTCTCAGATCTCCCACAGGCACAGGGACAAACACACCAGTGAGAGGCACTCCCATTCCTGGGCCATGGAGGCTGCACAGATCAACAGCGTGTTCAATTAGGCGATTAGGGCTCTGTCTCAAGCATCATCATCCACACTCTGAGTGCCAATATCCTTGGACTTCAATAAGCCAGTACTGGTTTTTAAACAATGATGGATTTTTAGGGTTATTAATTAACCTTGTTAATTTTGCTGTTTCATTTCTTAGACAGAAAATCTGAATGAAAATCTCTGGACCTTTTCCTGTTTGCAGCAACAAGCAGCTGTGCCCTTGTGGGGTGGAGTCATGGGTTTGTGCTCTGGCTCTTATCAAGGCAAGCACACTGGTATCCGTTGCTTTGGTATTCACCTCTTTTCTTACCTTGACAGGTTTTATGAAAGGCACTGATGAAACGTTTGCCAGCTCCTTTCATGCACTCTGACAGAGTCACTGTGTGTCACAGTGTGAGCTTGTCTTCCCACCTCTTTGCCCCTCTGATGTTTCACTATCTGCTTGCAAAGGCCAGGGTTTTATTCTGAGCATATTCTGTGCATATTACTGTCTCACTCTTGGTAAACTCCAAAGGATGTCTGTGTATCTCATCATACAATCTGACACTTTATCCTTCCCAGATACTCTTCTGTTTCATTAATATGTTTCTCACTACAGCCAGAGCCCAATAGAGTTGTAGGAACAGTGGCCAGAGAGTGCAAAAGGCAGTAATGAGATTTATTTTATGTGCAACTTTATGACATTGAAGAGCTTTATGTATCATCTCTCTGTATCGCTTCCTCTCAGGCTGCTGCTGGTTGAACATGCTCTGTCTGACTCCTGCATCAGCCACACTGTGTCTTGATTTCCACTTAAATCAGTCTAGTGCCACTTTAACCCTGGCAGCCTTTGAAATCAGGAGGCCACTGGAACAATAGGCAGAATTTATACTGCAGTTTTCATCTTCACAGCAATTTTCAAACACAAATGAATCAATCTTTAATGGTCCCTTATGTGGGACGTGACAAAAGACTGCAAGCCAGATTTTACAGACTGGGCTCAGAAAACCTGAGGGATTTGCTGAAAGCCACAGAAAAAATATGGCCCAAACTGCAAAAGAACAAATGAGTTTGTACTACCAATTTTTTACATGCACATCATGTTCCCAGACCTTTAAACTACAAGGCACTTTGTTTTCTGGGTCCTGTATTGCATTATTAACAGCAGAACCAGGATATTTGCTGCCACCTCACTGTGTCAATGATATTCACTGATGTCACATAGTCTTTCCAAGGAAAGGGAAATTAATTATTGCAAGTTATAGGGCATATGATGACCCAGTGCCTGGCAATGTGGAGTGCCTTGGTGGAGTGCAGGATGTACTCGAGGCAGTGCACTGGGAAAGGTCTTTGTGTGGAAAATGATGCCTCAGGCACTGGAAAC